TCCTTTGAGAACTCACACAGAATTATTCTTGACAAGAAAAGACAACGTAGAAAGAATCACGCCCCACCTATACCACCCAAGGACACCTTTCACTGTACTTTTTGCAACCGGATTTGCCTATCCCACATTGGTCTTTATAGTCATCAGCGCACTTGTAGGAAGCGTGTGTAAAGCCCTTCCCCAATCTTCGTTCACGAAGTCAAGAAATGACTTTACAACTATATCATGATTTAATTATTTTGGGGTTTACTGCTGTGAGCATTATTTACTCCTGATCATCACTATCATTTGCTAATCCTGTCACACGCCACGCAGATCAAGACTGAGAATGTGCCACCTTTCAAAGACCTTCATTTCTAGATACATTACTACAGACTCCATCAAGAGCCGGGAAACAAAGTGACAAGTGGTGGATCCTACTCTTTGGTTAAAACTGTTAGCATTTGTACCTCCTACCGAATGATTTAAGAAGGAAATTTGTTGTTGTTCTTGCTTGCTCATCAGGAAGTAAAAAGAGTAGTAAAGAGTAGTAAAGAAAAATAAATGGCCAGTTCAGGTGCAAACAAACCAGAGCATCAAATATCTTCCCCAAAGTACAAATGCAATGCACATTTACACTGATGCACTGAAAATTAATGTAACCTTTCCTATTATTATGGGGGAGACTGACCAACAGTATTGCTTTGAGCCCAGCACCTCATAGGCATAATTTAGATAAACCACAAAGCCACATAATGGGTGGTACAGAAAGAGAAATGTAATTTGAATTGCACTGACAAATGGCAAAACAAACCCATGAATTTACTCTGCAAGAGCAAGGTAGTAAGTGCCTCTAACTGAAAGACCACTTTTTCCTAATAAAGGCAGAAGATACAAGATAGGATGAGTGACAGAAAAAGGCTTAGAAGCCAAAAGACATAAAATACTGAGATTGCAGGTGAAATAGTTTGCCCAACGTTTTAAAAACTTATTGTTGATTTTTTAACCTTCCCATATTTACAGAATCCTATTTCTCTGCAGTATCAAAGCAAAGATATTTCCTCCCCACCTCATTCTCACACACACTGAGATGGAAATGCTAATATTTACAAGAAGCACAGAGCTTTCATGTTACTTCCACCATGGTTCAGTAGCTATGTAAGAAATCTAGCAATAAACAAAAAGTGGTTGTGTGTCTTGTGTTATTGTTACAGTACACCAGGTCAGGAATCATTCATGTGTTTTTTGGCATACAGTCAAATCTACAGGACTGTTATCAAAAGTTTATTTTCCCTGGCTGCTTATACGAGTGACTACAGGTGGCAGAGACCAACACGCCTGGATCAGCATTTCTGCACTACATCAGAAGCGGTCTGTAGAAGTAGGAAAGTAGCGCAAAATTAAGGAAAGAGAGAACAAAAAGACTGCCTGAAATGTAGTCAAATAAACAGAGCACTATCATAATGCTCGAAATGTGAAGTGGCCACTTCTTTCAAGAGCTTCTAACATATTCCAGAATAAGATTGTTAATCTGTGTCAATTTCCACCTAAGTGGAGTTATTTTACAGTGCACTAACACTATGGAAGCAGTTCAAAACAAAACAACAAACAATCCACAAGGAAACAAAACAAAGCAAAGCCACCAGAAAAACCACTTCAGTTTTAAATAGAAAAAGAAATTATTGTCCCACATTTCAAACTGTGGGTTGCTTGTTTAGTGATGAATTCAGGCATTTATAAAGAAGGAAGAATCCAGGTTTTAAGAAGGGATACTATCAAAACTCCAAGTGTCAGAATTTGACTAACTTTATCACCCTCTTCTATCTCCAAAGTCAATATAAACCTACTTGCAGGACTATTTGCAAGAAGTCTTTTAGCCAGGAAGACCAGTAAAAGTAACTCAACAGGAATGTTTGGCTAAAAAGTAACTTCCATTATAAAGTTCTGGGGATGATATAATTATTTTTGAATAATTATATATTGCAGTCAAGTCTCCCTTCCTTCCTCCTCCAAGGTCAGGGGAAATAAACCTCAATGAACCACAAGTCTACTTTCTTCAAAAGACTTCTGTACTAACAGGAAAGCAACTCATGAAGCCATCAGGAAATAGGAATGGGTAGATGAGCCCTGTACTACTGTGTCTTGATTGCTATACTAAATTGATGCAGAGGCTTTAATAATAAGATTTTACCTCCAGTACAGTAAGTAAATTAATTCTTCAGAAGTAGATTCATAGAGCAGCTGTTAAGAACAATGCTGCACCAATATTTTTCTTGACATAAGGAGGAGTGGCATTGCACAACCTGGACTCTATCCTCAGCTTTAGACTTTTGCCATTTGTGGATTTCAGAGACAACTGTGCTACCGAAACAAACAGTACAGGTTATAATTTCTTTCAGAACAAATTATCTTATGTACCCACAATCTTGAGCCTTGTGGAAAGTCTGAATGGCTCCAGAAGGAGAATCATCCCCAGAACACCAGCTGTTGGGTTTCTCATTTTCCAGCGCTTGAGAGCCTGCCCCTGCTTCCCCTCTCTTCCCACTCACTCTTTGCACAGTGCTCCTTCAGATCTTGCCTTCTTATCCCACACCTCTGAGCTGTCAGCAGCTACCCACCTTCCTGCTTGCCTAACACCTCCCTTGCCCTCATCTAACAATATCTGACACTCATCCTCAGCCTGCAATTTCTAGTCTGCTATTCCATATAAAACCATAACCTTCAATCTTGTTACCCTCCTCATACTCATTTTCTTTCCACTCATTAAAACTCCCACTTATTACAAAACACACAGTCCCACAACCCAGTTTTCCTTAACCCCTTAACAATCGGCTCATTCTCTGTGCCTACATCTTCACAAAACTGCTCTGCTCTCTTGGCTTCTGTGACCTACCTGAAAAGGCCCCCACTGCTCTTCACAGGCAAGTCCTCCAGTCTGTTCTCTCAACTATTATGGAAAGTAGAAACACAGTAAGATATATACCAGTATTCCCATTATGGATCTCATTAGTAATGACTCAACATCACCAAATGCACTGAGGAAATATTCATAGCAAAATTTTACCATTGTTTCCTCTACTATAATTTCCTTACTTTTCCCTTCACCTTAAGAAGGCTGCCTCCTCCAATTATTCGGTACCAGCAGCCACAATTCTACTGTCTGCTCCCAACCTGTTACCTCAAGCCTCCTCTTCTTGTACCAAATGGATATTCCCAACTTTCAAAGAAAAATCTAAAAGCATCTGATAGGACTTATTCTCTGACACTCTAAGTGAGTGATTGTATCTTCTATTGTGTCCTGTACACCAACCTTTCTGAAACTCAAAAACTTCAGACCACCCATCTTCCCATTTCCCAGTGGGCATTACAGTTCGGTGATTCATTGACTATACCCTCATAACCAAGCCTTAGCCTCATATCCTCTTTTTATCAAAAATGTTATAAAGCCAACAGGTGCCTTAGCAGAATTCCTCATTTCCATTAAGAAACAATTCCAGAAGATGGGTATTTGCATTAAAAGTCCCATCTAAAGCAACTAAGAATGTCACATTAGGTTGACTTGGACAGAAATCCAACTTTTATGTACAGAAACTTTACGGGATCTTTAAGCTTCACTCTCCACTGCATCACACACTGATTAATCATCAAAACCAGTGCAAAGAAGACAGAGAGTTCTTGTGTCAGAACACTCAACCTTGTGCAGCCACAAGTGACACAATTCATTTCCACCAGTGAATTTCTCATATATGCACGTAGGCTCCGTCACAGAGGCAAGGAAACAGCATCTTACTCTAGAAGCCTGAAATCAAAGCCTCCAGAGTGAGAAAACAAGTACAAATTATTTCTGACATGCAGATAAGGAATGTAAACACCCTGAGACAGGGACTTCCAAAGAATTTATGGGCTGAAACAATCAGTGCATACCAACTTCATTACTCTGCTTCTGACTTGTAAAACAACTTTCATACCCTGCAGTTTCACCATTTCTAATGTTGAAGGCTACAGAGAAAGCAGAAAAGCCTGGTAGCAAGTTGGGTTGGTACACAGAATATCTCCTAGTTCACTCTACAGAAAAGCACAAAAGCACGTGCACTTCTTCAGCCATTTTCAAGCCAGCAGGTATAACACAGGAAAGACAGATCAAAGAGGCTGTGCTGACAGCCATCCAAAACGATGCATTCTGTAGCCAGGGTAAAGAGCCAAAAAGAGAAAGTAAACAGAGGCCTTCAAAAAGCAACATGGGGCTGAACCAAGAAAATATGTAGTCCGAGGGGTAGTGGATGCATCTCACAGGATTTTGATGGCGTGACTCAGATGGCCATAAATTTATAAATTCCCACATTAGGAGTTTTTTCCCCGACCCGAAACAGTTTTTGGTCTAGGGATGGGATAGGAAGCTAAGGACTTGTGAATTCTCATTCCCTCTCTGACACAGGTTCTACATTGTCCTCAACTACTGTGCCTCAACATCCCACCATATATTTCACCAAAGTAGTGTGAAGTTACTGGAAATCTGTGGAAATGAAGAGGAACAGAAAGACACATGTGAACTATGACAGCAAATACTTCATTTGTTAGCAAGCGTTAATCTTTAGTGATGTGTTGCATGCATGATTTTCCCCATGATTTAACTCAAAATTATTAGAGCAGTAAGAAAAAGCCAATGATTATTTATATGCTACATCTCCACTCTCCAAGATACAAGTCATTTTGGGAAAATAAACTTTTCTATTCTTGAAAAGGCTAAAAGAAAATAGTAAAAACATGTACTTCTTAAAGCAAATCACTGTCCACTCTACTTTAAATAATGAATACAAATGACTATTTACAGTAAAACCCGTTTTTAGTTATAGCTAGCCACATTCCCCACCTAATACAGGTTTAAATAATGATTCAATATTCTTGAGGATTGGCTGTTGAAGAGGGTGTTTGGCAGTTGCAAGGCATGCTCATGAGCCTTAAGGCTGGAGTAAATTCAAAGTAGATAATCTCCTAATAAACACATTAGAAGTAAGTCTCACCTATTAGTATCCTATTCTTTGCAATGCCATTTTTAATCTCATCGTTGATCAAGTCTGTAAGTCCCCGGCACATAGAATCAATACTTTCGATGTGTTCTGGGCAGTCAATGGAGATCTTGTACCTGTCAAACCAGACAGTGGAGAAGGCTCCTTTCATAGGTGTATATGGCCTGGAAGGAAAGAAAACAAATTATTAACAAAGCCTAAAACCAAAAGCCTTCTAAATAGGTGATAAGAACAATTCAGCAACTCTCCAACAAAGGACAGAAGGAACCTCTTTTGGCTCCAACTCAATTTATATCCAGACACACTGCATTTCCTTGCATTCAAAACACGGTCATTCAAGAATGAAGACAGCATTTGGAAGCTGTGTGAAACAGTAAAATGTGAAGGTTGATCAGGTTACCTAACCATTTTAAATCTTAACCCCACCAAGAGGTTCTTAATCCTAAAACAGTTAGGGTTGAAATCCACCCTGGATTAGGACAAACTGAAATAACTGCTAAACAAGATAGGTTTGTAGGAGCTAATTTTATGGGATTCAGTTATTCTTGTGAAAATTGACAAGAAATAGGTATTAAAAAAACCCAGGTATTTATAAAAAAAATCTTCTTTCTTCTCTCAGTTTTTCTTTTTCTTAAATAAATACAGCCATCCTCACCTTAATGGAGCACGTACCTTATAAGTGAACAAAATGCCATGTGCTTACTGGATTGGTACAGAGGTACAAATTAGAGACATGATGCTCCCCCCCACCATAATACTGTGTTGTCATTTTAGTATTTTAACTGCTTTAACATGCTGCCCAAATCTCATAATCAGGAAAGCTACAATTCAAAGCAGCTCTTGTTTTTAAATATAGATGACAACTGGAGCCCTGAAATCCCAAGAAAGGTGAACTTACTGCCATGCAATGGCTCTACAATTTAATACCACATATATTGGTACGAGACTGCTGCTCCATCTCAAAACCAAGCCCCCTAAAATCCTTGTATGCAATGTTTAATGAGGGGGCAGGTTTTTCATTTTTATTTCAGATCATATGACAATCATTTTCTACAAACAGACCACCTTTGATAAATCTGTCTGGATGAGAACACACTAACACTGACTTCTGTGCTCTTTCTGTGTTGGGCTTTCTTTTCAGTGCTAGGATTAAAAAAACCTGCAAGTAACCTAAAAAAAAAAAAGAAAGCCATTATTATAATTCTCCTTAATGAATGAATAAATTCTGCCTTTATTAATACCAGAGAGGCTTCACATATGTAAATGGATATTTCTAAACCAGAAATACTCCACTAGTACAAGTGGCTGTATATTATTTGCATTATGCAGCCAAGCAAGTCAAAAATGAGAAAACGCAGATTTTTATCTGCCCAGTACCATGAACACGAAATAAATGAAGTCAATGACTTGAAAAGCCGGTAAGCCAAATATAAATAAAGAGGCAACAAACAGTAACAGACAAGCACAGCTTCAGTAATGAGTCCCTAACCATAGGATGGGTTGGAAAGGACCTTAAGATCATACTGTTCCAAACCCCTGCCATGGGCAGGGAAACCTTACACTAGACTGCGTCACCTAAGGTTCTGCTCAACCTGGCCTTGAACACTGTCAGGGACAGAGCACTTACCACTTCTTTGGGCACCCTGTGCCAATGCCTCACCACCCTCATAGTAAAGAACTTCTTCTTTATATCCAACCTGAACTTCCCATGTTGAAGTTTAAAATGGCATACAAACGTGGTCAAGTTCAGTACAGTGTGTGCCTTAAGTGGGTCCTTCATTTGCTCAGTCCAAAACAAACCGTATACTTAAGCACCAGAATTAACAATTATTTTAAATGAGCCTTTACTTATCTATTAAAAAAAAAGTGAATGCTAAGTTAAAGGAAATTCAGTGGAAATACTTCATACTCCCAATAAGCCTAAACTCAGTTTAAAAAATGTTCTTAAAATGCTTTTGCTTTTTTGGGTTTTTTTCTCCTCCATCGTTTTGTTGGATTGGGGTTTTTTGGTGTGTTTGATTTTTTTGGTTTGGTTTTCTTAGCTTCTCTTTAGTATTGCCACTGTCTCCAGGATTCTTTTCAAATTAATTGATCAACACCTAAACCCCCAGATTATAAATCTCTAACTCACAAAAGTCAGCTTCTAACAGCAGATATTCCAGTCAATGATATCAATAACAGTAGAATCAGTGGAGTTTCTGGAAGTCACTTGGACAATGTGTTGTACATCAGACTAAGCGCTTGGGCAAACAGCGCTGAACTCATAGTTTTAGCTTCTTTCTCAAACACTTTGACAGCAATCCCGGTTAGCAGCCAGAGTGCTTCATTTTCCAGTAAATCCAGAGTACCTGGTATTTGTGTAAGAAAAGATGTGTAAGGTTGTAATATTATAGCAAGTTGACCCAGGCTTTCCACAGAATGAAGTATTACAGAAACTCACATTACAGAAATACTCAGTTTTCTCCACAACTGAAAGATTCATATAGTTTATAAACAAGACAAAAATTTATGATATTATAATACTTGATCACGCATCAAAACTGAGGACTTTTACCTGCTGTCTTGGCAAATTCTCCAGTAAGACAGATGAAAGACTAATGGGTCTTAAGCCCACAGGAAGAGACCCCCCTGCAAATGGCAAGACACTTCCAGCAGTCTCTAGAACATCCTTGCAGCCCCTCTTGATTTCTCATAAATGCATTAAAAATAATCTTTACATAAAGCTGAGAAGTGAGATTCTTTTAGTAGTTCACCCAACTGGCACATCTGTTTTAGTCATTCACCTTGTTCCTTAAAAAAATCCCTTTATTAGCTGGCACACTACAACTCAGACATTACCATGGTAAACAAATATGTTTGGCATGGAACCATCTGTACAGCTCCAAGAATACAGCACAAAAGTTTTTCATACAATTAAACCACAAAAGACAAAAACACAAACAAACCCTACGTTACAGTGACACAGGAGGCTCGGCTGAAACACATGAAAGAAATACAGAGTGCAAACTCCATCAGGTAAGATCAGCATGGTAAGCTAAGGATGGTGTCAGACCAAATGGTCAGCTTTAAGTTTGGGGTTTTTTTTGCTTTTTTTAGGTTTGATTAAACTCATAACATGAGTCCCAATGATTTTTTTCCTTGCACTTCACTGTCTTTATTCCCTTTGTTAAATGATACTAAAAATAAAGCTCCATGTCTCTACAACATATGCTGTTGAAACTTGGAATGAAAATATATAGCCCCTCAAGTTTTGTAGGTGTTTTTTTATTTTTTGTTTGGTTAGTTTTAAAGGGTGAGTGCAGTTTCGTTTTGCTTGCTCTGAAGCACATGGAAGACTCAAACCCATATAAACAAAACCAAAACTTAGAAACTCCTTTATCTGGATATATTCAACTTCCAAAATTGAAGCCATTTTTCAGAGACATTTGAAACACAATTTTCTACAAATTCAACTAACTCTTATATAAAAGTAAAGAGAAAGGAAGATGTAAAGGAAACACGGCTAATATCAAATAGCATTTAAACAAAAGTAGACACCCTGAGGAAAAGAATCTTTAAAAAGCTTCCCAACATCCTGAAATCACTCTAAACCCTGTTTTCTGATTATTTATAGGTCTTTTTTTTTTTTTAAGAGTGTGAATTGATCTACAGTAGTTTTCCTCACACATACCCTTCTTGCACAAGATTGAAGTTTCAAGATCATACACACCTAATATTTGAATGTCTTAAATGGAAAACATATCCTGTAATATCTCTAAGTATTTATCATCCTTTCAATCTTTTAAACATATTCAAATAGAAGTAGTTTTCACTGTTGATTTTCCTGAAAAATTTCAAAGTAATACAGATCATTGCAGCTTTAATAAACTCAAGATAGTAGATAACTTGCATTAGCTGAAACAAACCTAACAATGAAAATACAATGAAAAGCAGGAAGCAATAGCACCATCATTCTCCACCTTCCTGGAGCATGGATTATATATTCTGGACCTTCTAAATCACATCTAGAATTGTGCTACATAGTTTGAGATTACCTGAATTTAATAGAAATGGAAAGCAACTGAACAATGCTACACAAATATTTACACTCAGATCTAAAACCATGTCAAATTCTATCTTCAAAACGATGCCAACTAGCATAATGATTCACATAAAACTATAGGTGGTTTTGTTCCTTAGGCAATAAATCAGTCCCTGTCCAACCTAAACGACAAGCTAGCTGCTTTAGGTAAAAAAATGCAAGAGTAGCAGGCAGCACCTTGATAAACAGCAACTATTCTTCCTCCAACTCCTTCTCCTGATGCACAATTGTATCACTTTCTTCACACTCAGCACTATGATCACCAGCTAATGCAGTCACATAAAACAGACTGCTGGCGCTGGCTTGCAGCTTTCTGGAAGTTCCAGATAACTTCCTGAGATGTCAGACAGAACTGGGATTCACAGTGACGCTAGGCTTCAAGATTCAAATATAGAAAGACCAACATTTTTTAAAGCCTCACTTCTGCTTCCTTCCCAAACCCATCTCCTCTCAGTCATGAGGCAGAGTGTCACATGAGACACTGTAATGTCTTCTTCTGGAAGACTATGCATCCCTTTGAAAAAAAGTCCACAGATCACACTGACAAACTGCTTTACTCCGCTCTGGTGAGGCCCCACTGTAGCACTGCATCCGGCTCTGGAGCACTCAGCATAGTAAAGACATAGACCTGTTACAGTGGGTCCAGAGGACAAATCAGAGGGCTAAAGCCTGTGAAGACAGGCTGAGAGTATGGCTTGTTCAGCCTGGAGAGTTCTCAGAGGAGACCTTAATGCAGCCTTTCAGTACTTAAAGGGGGGCTACATGAGAGATGGGATCAAACTTTTTACAAAGGCATGTAGTGATAGCAGGTAATGGTTTTAAACTAAAAGAGGGTAGATTTAGATTAGATATAACAAAGACATGTTTTATAATGAGGGTGGTGAAGCACCGGAGCAAGTCACCCAGAAAGATGATACATGCCCCATGCCTGGAAACATTGAAGGTCAAGTCGGATAGGGCTCTGAACAACCTGGTCTAATTGAAGGTGTCCCTGCTCATTGCGGGGATTTGGATTAGATGAACTTTAAAAGATGCCTTCCAACCCAAACTATTGTATGACACTAGAAAGAAGTCCTTCCTCTC